GTCATTATATTATGCTGCTATTCATACTGTCATTATATTAATGCTGCTATCCTGTATATATTGTACATACTATTGTTTGAGTACTTACGATTGTTTTTTTTAAAAATTTTTATATTTTACATTTATAATTGAAACTTGCACCAAGGGAGTGGCACTCCAATTTCGTTGTACTCTGTACAATGACAATAAAGGCTATTCTAATCTATTCTAATCTATTCTATTCTATTCTAGTGTTCGACTCTCTCACTGAGCTAACACAGCCAGTCCCTCAGCACGACTGTACTCTCTGCTCATGTTGCCTTCATATTAAATCATTCTTAGAACTTAACACTGCACTCAACAACAAACAAATCCTCCCTAACAAAACAATAACTTCCAGGTCAAATTACATTATATAGTAAGGATCACGTGAGCCGCAAGTGGCCCCCAGGCCACGAGTTTTGAGACGCTGTAAAGGACCTTGAGGTGACTGTTATTGTGCTTTGACACAATATAAATAAAACTGAATTAAAATTATGTTACACTGAATTTTACCTTTAATAATTTTGAAACTACCCACCATTTTTAACAAAAGCACAGGATTTTTGTTCTCTTAACAAAAACAAGTGTCAGTGTGTGTGGAAAAACTCAACAATTTCAGCTTTAGTTTAAAATAAAAGTTTAATTACATCAATAAAAGCAATATTACACAGTAATAGGCTTTTTATGACCAGATAAAACCACATTCACCTGTATCAACAGGAAATATAGCCTGAATTTACACAATATCTGAGATAATATTGCATCTTTGACTAAAACTCCCGAAACCTTTAGAAGGTACTCTCATTTTCACGTCATCGGAAACAGAAAGAGATTAAATAAACTACATGCAGTGGATTGAAAATGAACAGATTCCAGTGTTTTCAAACCTTCAGTAAATCTAAATACATAATCCATCTGTCACATTTACAGTAAATGACTTTATAGAAACAGACAAAGTCAGAGCATTTTATACAAGATTTCACTACACAGGCCCAAAAGGAATGATCTATAACTTCTGTATAAACATTTAATTTAAAAAATACCCCACGGCATCCCATTAATCCTGATTGGAATTTGCATAGATTGCACAAACAAAACAACACAGTATTAATCAATACAGCACAAAGGACTTTAATTGATTCCCTGCAGCTATTTAATCAGAGTGGCCGGCCATGCACGTCATGCCTGAGTCAACAGCATGCTAGAAAAAACAAGTAGCAGCCCACACAAAGCCACATTCATCCCGTAAACGCAATTTCAGTGTAATTATACAATTTTAAAAATGCTTCCCAGAACTAAAGAGACAGAAAGAAAAATCAACCAAAGCTCTTGACCAGAAGCCGCTTTCCCGTCAGCTGCCCTCATTTCTTCTGGCAGTAGTTTTTGTAGTTACTGCAGGCCTTCTGCATGTCCGTTAAGAACCCTGGAACCCCTTTCTGTTTTGAAAAAACACACGCAAAGAGCATCTCTATCAGCGAGCGTCATTCACACATGTGCCAAGAAGACCCACCTAGGAGTGGCAAGCATTGACGTCAGCCTGCAACACATCTGCGAACCATAACGATGGGAAAGCATGAAGGCAGGCAGAGGGACGGAGCTCTCGCGGGCCCGCGAGTGAACTCTTTAACGCCCTCTTTAAAGCTCTCATCACAGATCAGTTTAAGCAGGTCAACTATGAACACGTGTGCATTTCAGGGGTTGTGAGGCCCTGGTGCAAACTGACGCCTTAAACACTGCAAGACTTTGAACGCCCCTTTAAACAAGAGCTAATAAATCAGAACGTGTTTCAAATGATGAAGAGTGATGCACAGATGTTTTGGTGTATGTTAACCACACAGAGCACAGAAGAGGAAGACGTATCTGTTGAGGATGTAGTCTTACATGCAGTTGTCTTTGCAGTTGACCCATCTGTTTAATGGGCAATCATCTGATTTAGAGTTTTTCATGCAAAGTTCTAAATGTGTTTGTTTCCATGCACTGCAGTAAGCTGGCACAATAGACTCACCTTCGCTGCCCAGTTCACCAGCCAGGTGGGAATATTTCCGCCAGGATTGTCAAAGTAATTCATGAAAACTGAAACACAAGCAGGCGGTTCAATATTTATACAGTTTCTGCAACCAAGCCTTCCATTCTGAAAAGTGAAGCTAATGCAGCACGTTTTCAAACCTGCATTCTTTCTAATGGCCAGCAGGGGGCGACTGTCCTTGTTCAAAAGAGGAATAATTACATAGAAGTCTATGAGAAAATGAGTCTACTTCTCACTTGATTTGCAACTTCAGTAGACACTTTTCAGAAGCGTTTATAAATTCAATCACTCGTTTAAAGATTTATTTAATAACTTATTATGTTCATCTAGTAAATTATGGTCCCATTTACAGTAAAACAGATGATAAACCAGGGCCACCGACGAATCTACGAGCATATATGTTATTCAGTTTCAGTGAACGGCTCAAATGATGGGCCATTTGTTTAATTTAAACTGTATTCACATGAACCTGGAATCTTTCTGTTTAAAAAAAACACATTTATTTACATGAACATAATTATATAACTGCAATTGTTTAAAATTATCTTATTGTGTTACGTTTAGTTCCACCAGCTCCGTCACTCTCCAGGGAAACGCTCTGCTTGTAGTCTTTGACCCGAAGCACGCCGCTCTTTTCTGGACACGGTGTCTCCGGGGAGCTTTTGGCAAGGATCACCCAGATCTTCCTGCCATCCATATCCAGGTCTTTCCGCTCCCTCACATAAACATACTTAGGTTTAAGCTGTTAGGGAACATGACACGCTGAGAAAAGCATTCACAGCCTTTTCCAAATCTATGCGAACTGAACGTATTAGTGCAGATCAGAAGGATACGTCTCTGTTTGACAGCGGGAACGGGTATTTCACTTCCCAGTAGATGGCTGACTGTCCATCAAAGTCCTTCTCATATAGCTCTGAATAAGAAAAATGACACAATCATTCAATGAGCTACAGAAGCACATAAATATCAGCTGAAATACATGATATCAGAATCAGAATACTTTATTAATCCCGAGGGAAATTAGGGAAAAGAGAAGAACAACCACCCCCAACTATACTAACCATTACATTTTAATGTCTTATGAGGAAAAAATGGCCAAGGAAATGAATATTTTCAAGGAATATACTTGAAATACTGCAATAACCACTTCATCTTTACAGAAAACTACTTGCAACACTAGCAGGTTGTATTTGTACAAGTTGTGGTTTGCATACTGCACAAGACAGACTGCATGGAAGAGAAAGAGCGCTTTAGATTCAATGAAAGGATAATAAAGGAAATCTTTGGGTTTTATTCTCTCCTTCACTTTAATATTTTTCACTATACTAGAACAATTTGCATCTGTTTAAGACACTACAGCTAATACACTAGAGATTTACCTTTAAAGTTTTCCTGCTGATTGATCATTATCTTTAGTTTATTCTCCACTTCTTTTGCTCTTATGTAATCTTGCTTTATATTAACACACCCAAAATCAGGAAACTAGTTGCCAGTCGGTTGTAAAGTGGCATTCATGGGTAATGTAGGCCCCTCTGATATCTGGATATTTTTAAGGAGAGACACTGAGAAGCTATCACCACAGAAAACACAGAAAATGCTACTGAAATGAGCAGCTTTCAGCTAAAAGACTACAGCTACACCATGTTACCTGCTGGGTACTGTAGATGTGCATGAAAACAGGGATGAAAGAAAAGTGAAACTGTTATTTTAAAGCATTAATGAAGACTAAAAGATCGGAGAAGACAGAGATAAAAGAAAGACAGTAAATGTGGTGTGAACCCTGCCTTCCTGGGCTGTTTCTGTTTTTTTACCTTTCACATATCCATCCCAATCTTTTCGATACGTCAAGTCCATGTAGACATCTGCACACAGCTCTGTTGTGCAGGTGGTGAGCACACCATAGACTTTGTACTCATAAAGTCCAGTTTCCTGCAAACAGCACATGAAAGTTCTCTCTTCCAACTGCAGGCCATATGATGCCACACCCACACTATGCAACTAAGCCCTGACCACACCACTCTGATTAGTGCCAGTCTACATTTCTCACGCCCAGTGAGGAACTGTGTTGGCCTAGATTCAAATGTTTGGTTTTTTTCCTTTTAACATTAGTTTTCTTGCGCAAAACATTGAAAAATCAAAGCAATACTTAGAATGAGAAATAGATTAGGTACATTTATGTCTTCTAAGAGTAAAAGTCATACCAAATTCCATTATCTATAACGTGTACAAATTGAAGTGATTTATTTTAGATTTAAGATAGTTTAAAAAACATAGTTTTTTTTCTCCAAAAGTTTGTTTTTAAAGAAAAATGTTCAAAGAATCATTTCACTTATATCACTCAGCATGTTTTGAAGTAAACAGAGGTGACAATTCACACATAACCTTGAAGAAACATTTTTCATAACTGAGATTTTAAACTTTCATTGTTATTTACATTAGGCTTCCACTGACAATCTTGTTTTAAATCAACCAAAAAGCCAACCTAGATGTATCAGGGATGTGCCGAATTGAAGGGTGGATCATTGCAGATGCAAGAATGTCTTCAACGAGGTTAGTCAGGGTGTCTGTTTACGCCCCAAAGCAAGGCAACTATAAATCGACGTCTATCCGAATGGAGTTTGGTTGGACTGGTGCAGCAAGTTTCTGAGTGGAGAAAAAACATACTCCCGCTCAGCTTCCGGCTTCTTCCCCATGCTAGCCGCTGCTGTTTATCTTTGCTGCTAATAAATTAAATTAAACTTATACTCAGCTTGATAACAGCTCAACGTTTTGACAGAGAAAAGGTGGAAACATAAAACAGCGACAGTTCAGGCTCTGCAGCGCTCACCACATTCATTCAAACTGGCTCGCCGAGTCGCTTTTCCTGCAGCAGAAGCAGCAGTTTGACTGGAGATTTCCTACCTTGTCATAGAGCCGGTAGATTTTCACTCCCATCGTCTCCACGAACAGCTCCCATCCTCCCTCCAGCTGCGGCTCGTCCAGCTCCTTCCACGCATTCTGGAACTCCTCATCCGTAAACCGCAGCGACATGATGGACTCTCACTGTGACACACCGGCCAGCCCGCAGCCAAGCACCATACTTCCGCTCCCGGCCTTCAAAATAAAACACGCAGTGCAAACGAGCATTTCTGAGATAGGACGTACAGGATGTTTGGACATCACGCTTCTGTACAGATTTGACCTCTCCACACTTCTATTCAGAATGATATTTAATTAAGCTGCAAAATGAACGTGAATGAGAGCAATTTTAAATGTTAACCAACCACGGCAATAAAATGTAATTACATAATAAAACTAGCTAATATAGATTTCATATGGATTTTATTTAATTTTTCAGTTTCAGTTTAACTCAAAAAAGTATAGCAACAGTCTCAAGGCGCTTTATGTTCATGCTAGAGACCCTACGATAATACAGAGAACATCTCAAGAATCAAACAATCCCCTATGAATAAGCACTTTGTGACAGTGGGAAGGGAAAACGCCCTTTTAACAGGAAGAAACCTCTGGCAGAACCAGGCTGCCATCTGGGATGGCCAGCTTCAGATAGTGGATTCTGATAGTTTGATACTAGTTTCAGGACAAACTCTAATAATTAGCCATAATTATGATTTTTTTTCTTAAATTGGTCAATATATATAAAAACTTGTATGAGTCTGTTTAAGAAAAAAAGGCTAAAGGGCTAGGTTGGATAAGAAGAAGACAGACCTGGACCCAGGTAAGAAGCAGAGGTAGAAAATGGATGGATGGATGGAAAAGCTCAGTATATAGGTGACTTATATATATATATATATATATATATATATAAAGTATTCTGATTCTGATTCTGATTCTGATATAAATCTAAAGAAGTGAGGTACTGTTTATTGCAGGGTGTTAGAATGTTTACTCAGGCTACATACAGCCCAACCTGATGTTATCAGTGAACAGTCATAATGATAAAAGATTATGGAGTGATATGCCATTATTTCTCTTTCATTCATTTACATCGCTTACACAGTATGCCCTTTATCAGCTGATAAACTCAAGGCGTAACAAAACAAACAAAGCAAACCTTCGGACTTCAAAATAAAGGCAGGCAATCAACGCGTTTTATTTTGAAACGCACCGCCGGATTCACCAGCTTTCCCCGATGGTTTCTATCTTCGCTCTGCAGTCAGAGGCGCATGAAACAGTCCCGCTAGAATGAGGATGGCAGTGCGGTTGGCAGCTCCTAACCTGACGACTGTACGGTGCGGCAGTTCTCATGAATGGGAGCCAGATTCCAGCCCGGAGAGTCCGCTGTGAGCTTCAACACTGAGCGAGAACAAACAACATTCACTTTTAATTAGATTAGTCTGGTTAAATAATTCATCAGCTCATAGACAAGTCTCACTGCAGCAGAGGGACACTTTGCAAACTTTGCCACATGGAAAACGGCTCTGAGGTAACGAAGCTTTCTTCTTTATTTCCCACCTAAAACAGGCTATCTGCACTAAATTTACTACACATTAAAAACATATATCGTTACCAGCTGAAGCCAGGCTGTGTTGCTGCTTGTTGCTATAGCTGAACTGGATTTGGTTATTTGCTAAGATTTTATAGATTTACTTTTAACTTTATAAATCCTCATTTTTTGTTACCCCAATAAACAAACTTTCATGTTTACCACTAAGACAGCCTGCAAGAGTTAGTTTGGAGAGTTCCCCACTCTTCACATTTTCTTGTTGTTTAAAAGTCCTGTGGCTTCACAGCTTGCAGCGTCCCCCCCTACAGTATCCTCCCTTCTCTAAATGGTCCAGAGCCACAAACTACACTTAATTTCTTCAGTCTGTCCCGATGCTGGTCATTTTCATTGCAGCTGTGTATGAATAATAGAACAGTCACTTTACAGGAACTTTGTGTACTGCTGAACTAAAGGGTTAGGGTTTGACATTTATATGATTTTTGTCCTCTATTTTTTTTAATTTTTAAGAGAAGACGACTCAAATCAAGAAAATATTTAATCACAATAATATTAAACAAGATTCATAAATAAGAGTTGGGGGGACATACTGGTTACAGTTACACTGCTTCTACCATGAGTAAATCATTTACAGTTATTCAAATTTATTAATTTTTTATATTAAACAAATTTTAAAAGCTTTTGTTTGAGGGAAAAAAAAATACGTTTCTTGACTTGAAGTAACAGAAATACACAGATCTGTGCTCTCTTTTCTGGTTGTTTTGTTTCATTGTTTGTGGATAGTAAAGATTTTGACATGTGTGCTGATGTACACAGAAGTTTCTTCTTCATTTATGCGGTGACCCCGCTCTAAGGACTTTTAGATACTAAAATCCATACAGTGTGAGACATCAGATACCAGCAGATACCAAACGCAGCGTCTAAATTTAATGCTGGACATTAAATGGCTTTCTTCATCTTGATAAAGTTGTTTTCCTGGAGGAAAACAGGGAAGGTGATGAGATTTTATTATCTTGTGTTTTTCAGTGTCATTACACAGTTAAACCAAACGGGTCTCCACTCTGTTGGGAAGTAGTTTTGGTGGTAAAATGCTGCTGCTTCTGTATTATTTTGAAATAGTGAGCCCCAAAGTATTGGCTGCAGAAGACACAATCCTGGCTGTAGGTGTAGCACTGACCATTGGGCGAGGAAATTCTGCTCAAGTTTAGAAACTTGATTAAATAATTTCAATTTCAAACATCTGGACTGATAAAGTCCCAGCAAGTCTTTTCTACCCACTTATTGTGACTCAGCTTTCCATGCAGCAGGCGTGTGTGTGGAGGCGGGGTGAGCGCTTGTGAAGATGTTTGTGATTTCGAAGCTCCTTGCATTTCATGGAGCAGTTTGTAATGTCATATCCTGCGCTCTCCAGGGAATGTCTCAGCTCGTGCTGGGACGAGTGGTCCGGCGTCATTCTCCTCTGACTGGGTCAGGAGGAGGCGGCTGGGATTGTGCAAAGAGGTTACATGGGTTTATTAAAGCAGCATGTGGTCAGGAGGGGGGAGTTGTGAAATGTGTTGAATTATAATAAAAAGCTTCTGCCAGAGTTTCTTTTGCTGTTTACAGTGTTGAGCAACACGTTTGAGCACTTTCACTGCTTCTTTCTCCACAGACTAGGAGATCCTGATCACAGGGAAAAGATCAATAACGAGGAACCATCTGTGGTCTGTTAACAGAAGACTGCTGGATCCTGAAATGCCAGAAGACGCTAGCAAGGAGGCCATGAGAACACCAGCGACACCAGAGAAGGCCAACAACGCCGAGCGCCCTGCTGTCGCCATGACAGCCCTAAACATCCCCCTAGTTAATGAAGTGCAGCTGACCGCAGCCACCGGCGGGGCAGAGCTCTCCTGCTATCGCTGCACGATCCCGTTTGGTGTGGTAGTGCTCATTGCAGGCATCGTGGTCACCGCGGTCGCTTACAGCTTTAATTCGCACGGCTCCACCATCTCCTATTTTGGCCTGGTGCTCCTCTCTGCAGGACTCTTGCTTTTAGCATCCAGTGCCATCTGTTGGAAGGTGCGGCTGGAGAGGAAGAAGGAGAGGCGGCGGGAGAGCCAAACGGCCTTGGTTGCAAACCAGAGGAGCATTTTCACTTGAAGCGGCAGTTTAAACAACGCAGCTCCAGGTTTTCTGAGTCTGAAAAGGCCTGATCTCGACACGGTTTGATGAAGAACCAGCTGAAGGCAGATGTTGTCCAGAATGTTTCTTCAGTTTCCGACCTGTAAAAGCTCCGACTCTAAAGGCTCAGAATTCAAAGCTTTACAGACATTGTGAGGGATTTATTTGTCAAACAGACGTGGAGCATCTGGTAAGCTGGGAACACAGCCAGAAGGAATGTATCACAATTAAGATGAATTACCACTGTGCGGAGTGGCATAGAGGAAGTCTCCCATTAATCGGCTGTTGGATGTGCTGCCTTTGATTGCAGCAGGAAGGACTGTGGTTTGAAAAAGTCCAGAACAATGACTCTCGCCTCATTTGCTAGGCTTCAACTTGCAAATATCTGTTTAGAAAGTCTCATCTTGCAGGAAATGGGGAGAAATGACCTGCTTTTGAAGTATGGTACGTTATAATGGCTGAGAAGGACTATTAAATTTTGAATATGCATCCTCTTAAAGCACTTTGATCCTACATATTCATCATATTATGTAATACATTTCTTTAAAAAAAATAATGCAAAGATACATCCACATTTTATGTAGCAATACTTAATGTGGACAACTACATTTTTCACTGTCTATAGCTCATATTGTGTAAAATTAAACTAGCAGCTTTGTTTTAGCGTAATCATTTGCATGTATTCATTGTTATCACATGATCATGATGTTTAATAAAATCATTTTATCAAGCATGTTGTTAGTGTCGCAACTGGACAGAATTAATTTAGTTTTGTCTTGTTTTGTTGTACGTATTGAAAGGAAAGACTGTATATAAAAGATGGGTGTAGCCATGTCACCCATTGGTTTGAAATTTGAAGAGCTAACATAAGTGTTTTAGCTACGATGTTGGGTTTGTGGAGCCACGAGTGACCGTATTTAGACCAAAGGGGGGAGTGCAGCGCTAGCAAAAATGGTTAGCTAGCTGCATCCAAAAATTCTGACTGCATCACACATACAGACACACCTGCTAAATAAAAGATTAATAAAATACTAGCATTTCACCAAGTGAAACTGGACCATAGACTTCTTGTCCAGTTCAGTGACTCAAATTAGCAGAGGAAATGCTTAGCAGATAGCTAGGCTATTAGCCACAGCACCTACATTTAAGCAAGTTATTTAAAAAATAAATATACCACCCACCATAAAGTTTTTATAAAGAGAGAAATCATCCATAAAGCCCCCAAAATGTCCCCAAAATGCTGCAGTTTTGT